GGGCGCGGCACATGACCGGGGGGGCCCCCCCCCCCCCCCGTCGACTAAAGGGCAACTCCGGCCACGCACACCGCAGGAATACATACACAGGGACAGATTCCACCTTCCCAAAGCTTTGAGAAAGAATACACAAGTTCTTGGATTCGGCCACCCAGCTGTGCTATGTGGCCACAGAGCACTGGGATGGTTTACAGCAGGGGTAGCCAAACTCCGGCCCTCCAGCTGTAGGTGAAAACTACAAATCCCATGATGCATCTCTCTCCGGGAGTCATGTCTGTGGCTGTGAGAACCTTACAATGCTTCAGGGAGAACTGTCACAGCCGGCTGGCTCTGAGGATCACGCCAGTATACCTGTTATCTTCATCCTTAGACCAAAACAAGCAGTTAACCCTTACAGTGCTGGGGTAGCCCCACTGCTTTAAGACATTTTCCTGCACAGGCTTTGACCAGAGACAGGTTCACTTTACACATGAGCAGCGAAGGAGGTGCGGGATCCCTCGTAAATGCGTGATGTGCGCAGAGCGGTGCTCGCCGCCCTTCCTGGATCAGATCTGGATGAATGAAGCATTAATTATAACAGAAGCTCCGATCGTTCGGCCTGGCGGAATTTGAGGAGTCAAGTGCTCAGCGTTTTTTTCCTGAAAGCACACCGGGGCTATGTTATGTGGGCCGCTAAGAGCCGAGTTCTTCAGGAAATCACTTACTGTCTTCACCCGAAGCTTCGCCTGGAAACATTCAGAATAAGAGTGCAGAACGCATTGTCGGCGTTCATATCCAGACAGAACTCTGCCACCCAAAAATAATGAAAACAGCACGAAATAAATTGTACACAATCGAATGATCATTAAGACCCGAGCGTCGTCTAAACACGGCGTAAACATCACATTCATTATTCTGACGGATCGGCTTACGTCTAACATAACAATTGGGAGAGGAGGAAAGAAATCAGCAAAAGCGCAAAAAAAAGAAACTTTAAAAAGGAGAACTCGGCATTTAACCACTTGAAGACCGAGGTGTTTACACCCCCTTCCTGTCCCGGCCATTTTTCAGTATTCAGCGCTGCGGTCCTTTGACTGACATGTATTCCGTAACTCACACGCCCAGGTGGGCGTGGCTGAGCGGACGTCTAAAGAAGCCCGCTCAGATCTAGAGACCTCTCAGCCGGCCGTTTTTTTTACAACGGCCGGTCCTGAGGTGGTTAATTCCCCGCCGAGGATAAACAAAGCTCACCCGCTGTATTGTATGAGGGGAGGCCAATAAGTTCTTACCCTCGCTATGATCTAGATGTGCTAGGGATCGGACATTTTGCAGGTTTATAGGTGGATATCTATGTAATATGCATGCCAATTTTCGTTTTTGGCATGGTGAATTATAGTTAGAGCTAGGGTTGCACAGATACCAAGTACAGTACTCGGTACAAGTACGAGTACATGCACCGATACTTTTGAGCTCCGAGACTACACTAGAGAAAAATACAAAAATTAGGAGGCAGCTGTTATTTGTAAGGAGCACACGGAGCTCCCGGGATTTGTACATCTCTGTTTTAATGTACGATTTTGTTTTTATAAATATAAATAAAGGGATGCACAGATACCAGTTTTGCGAGTACGAGTACTGGTACATTTTTGTTTATTGTCATGTGACAGTTTTTCTAAAACAATACAGACTAATGATTTCATGACAGTGGTGGAGCGCCAGAGCCAGGCCCCAGCTGCAACCGCTGCAACCCTGGTAGTTCTCATGAAAATGCCGAGTATCTGCACTGGTACTCGAAAAGTATCTGTGCAACCCTAGTTAGAGCCAAGAGAAATGGAGTAGGTGTGGACAAAGGTGAATACCGGGCCGTGTGTTGCTGCTAGCTGACAATGCACCTGCACATCGAGCTGCAGAAACTGTCACTTTTGTTTGCGATTTTGGCTATGAATCTCCGACACCAACCACCTTACTCACCTGACCTGGCACCTCCGGGCTTCTTCCCGTTTCCAAATCTGAAGAAACAGCTTCAAACCCCTAAACAATGATAGGCCCCCACATACCAACTGAGCATAATTTGAACATCTCAGCATTGGGCATTGCTGCTTTACGGTTATTGGAACTAAACAGGTGGCCCCATCAATGTGGCCCCTTAGTGGGATGTATTTGGGAAGATGGCCCATTATTCCAAAGCACCCATTAGTAGGCAGGCTTACCTTCACAGTAGCATCCATAGAAGCAGAGAGGAGTAAGTGGCTGTACTGCTTTACCGGACACCACTGGACCCGGTTTACGGGGCCGGTGTGCTCCCCCATCTGAAACACCACGCTCCTGGGAATCTCTGTGTCCTTGTATTTTAATTGTAGATGTGGCCCGAGGTAATCAGAAACCCTGTAGACGCTCCGTGTTGATTGGGCGGCGTGGTCATGTGAATTCCCAGTTCTATCACTGCTGATCTCTTCTACCACACTGCACTGTTCCTGCCGGAGTCTTTTAGGAATATAAGGTCTCACTCCGCTGCCGAGGGGCCTCTTCTGTTGGATCAGCTCAACATTTCTGAAGGTAGTATCTGGATTGTTCGATCTTACGTCCGTAGTCTGTAAGGCTTTACCAGGGAATGTCTGCACCGTGCTGTAAGCTGGATATAAGCCCTGGCCTGTACTAGGAGTCCTGCTGTAGCTGTTGACATAGGTTGGGTGTAAGGTAAAGTCACTTGGCACTTTTGATGACACCTGTTGTCCGGCAGATCTTTCAGTAGCTCCGGTTGGACAAGGACTTCGGTCCTTCTCAGATCCATCCGTGTCCGAATCTGAATCCTCATAGGCAACCAGGGAACTCATTCTTGTAATGTGCAAGTCTGCGATGAGATAAAACAGCAAAGAATTAGAGGTGCAGTCATTTGCAGCGATCATACAGTTCTATGCAAAGCCAAAAGTTATCTGTATAGAATGGGGACGGGATAACACCATGGCCAGTTTATTTTTTCATGCCTATGTACCGTGTTTCCCCGAAAATAAGACACCGTCTTATATTTTTTTGGGCTCAAAAAAACACACTAGGTCTTATTTTTTTTTTTAATGTACAACAATCCACACTTATTCATGTACAAAAATATAGTGATAAGGGCAATCAGGGGTGCCGTACCTTTCCAAGAGCAATTTGCTAACCAATCGATGGCCAGAATGAGCGGAGCGCACTTTCACTTTCGATTCCTCACAGATGGAGTGCATTTGGTATCACTCCGCCAGTGACAGGAGGCGGCGCTATAGAGGAGGCATCGGCCTATGCGGCTCTGCTCCCTCCGGTGCCACTTTGCTTCCTCTAGCGCTGGTGTCGTTGGCACCGCTGATTCTCTCCCGCGGCTGTTCAGGTTCCCCCTTATGCCACCACAGTCCCTGGGAATGGTCACAACTAGGTCTTACTTTCGGGGGTAGGTCTTATTTTCGGGGAAACGGGGTATGTACTTGGGAAATTTCCTTTCAATTCCTCTCCCAGAGATGCAACAGGAAGCCATAGGTCATCTCCAGAACAGGTGTTCCCATTGGAGGATTTCCCCCTCTGTTCCTGTTCTGGTGACAACCATAAGGGCTCTTTTACACCACAGCATTGTGCGATATGCTATGGGATCCATGGATTAAGAATAGTGATGGGCTCGGGCGTGTTCGCAGCTCCACGTGCCGAGCCCGCCAGGAAGCTGACAGCGCCAATCACAGGTACTGAGACATTATCCTGGTCCGCAGCTACAGAGATCGGGAAATGTCTCAGTGCCTGTGATTGGCACTGTCAGCTTCCTGGCGGGCTCGGCAGGTGGAGCTGCGAACAAGCCCGAGCCCATCACTAATTAAGAACACGCTATCAAACAGCACAGTGTACTGCATGCTAAGTGAGCTGCTGCACTGCAATTCATTTGCATGGCACCCCAATGCACCTCCTAACAGGTGTGCGATGCAGTGGAACACGCGGTACTGCAGTACTCTGTGTTGCAGTGGAAAATGCATGCATGCATGAACTACTTTTTCACAGCTACATACGGCATTACTGTACCATGATTTGCAGTGCAACACATGTTCTCTGGTAAGGTGATATCAGATAAGTACCCCGCTAGACATTGATGAGCATTTTAACCTTGCAGAAAAATGGTATAGTATTGCAATTTAGTGCTTTCACGCCGTCAGTTTATCTTTTGCTGCCTGTGTACCATTGGAAGATTTCCCCTCTTCTCGGGACAGCTGTAAAATATCTGTCTTTGTGACAATGGTCAGCGGTGAATTACCATAATTGGGACACAGACAGAAACCCCACAGGGGGGGATCTAACCCTTCCCCCGCTCTGTCCAAACCCAAAAAAAGGTTTTGTCTAGAGATACACTTTAACAAATATAAAATAAAATACAATTTTTACGGCATGGCAGACGAACCTTCTGCGCTCCGATAACATCACCCGGCCAGCGCATCACAGAGTACATAAAGGATAAATCTCCCCCATGGTGTCCCCTGCATGGAGAATTACAGATAATGTCACTTGTCTGTATAGAACATGTGCCAGGCTGAGCAAAGGCAGTCCCTGCAGATGGCAGAGGGAAGGACACTGGGGACATGAAAGGGGTCCCCCAACACTACTTACTCCCTCCCTTCTCCTCCTATAGAACAGCGAGGAGGACTGACAACTCCTGACAGCACCTCTGCGAATGAACTAGGAACCATCGAGCCTGGCCTTGTTTCCGAAGGGCGGTATTGCAGAGTGCACCGTGTCAGTGTTGCGTGGTGCTTGCAGCATAATTACATGCTGGGAGTGAGAAGCGGTAAGAGCAATGGGGGATCGGTGGGGGGGATACGGTCAGGGAGGGTCATGTGACCTGTCACCCCTATAGTGAAGCTGTATATGAGCATCTGATGGGCTCCTCCTCCCCCCCATATGGTTCTGTGTAAAGGGAGAGCTGAGCTCTGGGAGTATTGGTGAGGGAACCTCACTGGAGTATATATAGAATCAAATTATATATATATATATATATGACAGGGAGGGTCACGTGACCTGTCACCCCAATAGTGAAGCTGCATATAAGCAGCTGATGGGCTCCCTGTCTTCCTCCCATATGGTTCTGTGTAACCTTTGCGGGTTATATGTGTGTGTGGGGGTCAGTCCGCACAGAGGCACAGGAAATACATGCTGACATTGTTACATTTAGCAACATAGAATTCCAACTTCACATGGTACATTCCCCTAACGTATATGAGACAACAGGATCAGACCGTGATCTTATGGCTTTGGGTGTTGTCAGCAAGAACAGTCCATTACTGTTACCACACCTGTCCCTATACCCTTACCCCCTTCCTCCTATCACCCCTTCCTCATAGTTTTGGCTCAGAAAAGCCATAAGACTGATAAGGCGCTCTGCTGATAGCATGACTGGGGGGAAGGGGAGTCGTGTCATGTCTGCTTTGTCTTTGGTGAGCTGTCCGTGTTGCCTCGAAGCTTCCAATCAGATTCCGGCTTTCATTCCTATACGTGTCATTTTCATGTTCTGATTAGTATTTGATATAAATGCCGCCGGGCTCGGACAATACCACCGTGAGATGCTATAGGTGAGTCTGATCTCATACTGTGTATAGCAAACTCCAGCCCTCCAGCTGTTGTCTAACTACAAGTCCCTTGAGGTATTGCAAACCTGACAGCCACAGGCATGACTTCCAGAGACGGATGCATCATGGGATTTGTAGTTTCACCACAGCTGAAGGGCCAGCGTTTGTCTATCCCTGGTGTATCTAAACCCCAAACGTAATATATTGCAGCTTATCAGTCCTTAGATGTGGAGACTGAATTAATTTTCTTTTTTTCAGTCTTTTTTTTTTAACCTTTTATTTTAACCTGGCGATCCTGATAATAAAACACTTTCTGTCTTAGGGTGACAACTCTCGCTCACCGTATGTATTGAGGAGCAGTGTTGTCACCCTAGCCTGCAATCCTGATTTTCTGACTACAAACACCTCCACTTCTCAACTCGCCCCAAATGCTCCAATACTGGAACTTCCGGTTAGAGGGGGATTTCCTCTGACCGGCAGTGCCGTGAGGGAACATGGAGCCGGCTTCCCGGCCAATCAGGAAGCCGGGCGGCAGATAACGACTCGCCACCCAGCTTCCTGATTGGCTGAGAAGCTGGCTCCATGCTGAAAAGCTGGCTCCATGCTGATTGGCTGGGAAGCTGGCTTCCCGACCAAACAGCAGGGAGCCGGCTCCCCGGGCAATCAAGAAGCCAGGTGTCGTGTCATTACACGCCGCCCGGCTTCTTGATTGCCCGGGAAGTCTGATCCACGGTAGCGGTATCAGTACTTGGTATCAGCAAGTACCAAAATATATCTATATATTTAGATCTAGCTTAGTGGCCCAATAGCCTCCATAGAAATTGACTGAAGACAAAAATTCTTAGATGGCAGAGGGTCCAGCTAACTGCCGTACTCTCCTTGGTTGGCTCTTATAGCCCAGCTTTAGATGATTGGATGGATTATATTCTCCACCAGGCTGGTGGTGACCCCACTAGGGAGATTTTCCCTCACTTCCTTGTGTGCTTAGCGAAACAGGAAGTGAAAGGAAATCCCTCTTAAAGGTACACAGGGAGCACTGCAAAACCTGACCGGTACAAGCCCTTCCCCATTCTATATAAACATAACTACATTAAACCTCTTCATATGCTCGTCTGTCTGTTTAGTCACATGTATTGTTTTATTTTAGGGTTGCACAGATACCAAGTACAGTACTCGGTACAAGTACGAGTACATGTACCGATACTTTTGAGCTCCAAGACTACACTAGAGACAAATTCAAAAATTAGGAGGCAGCTGTCATTTGTAAGGAGCACACGGAGCTCCCGGGATTTGTACATCTCTGTTTTAATGTACGATTTTGTTTTTATAAATATAAATAAAGTGATGCACAGATACCAGTTTTGCGAGTACGAGTACTGGTACTTGCCGAGTACTTACAAGTACGAGTACTGATACATTTTTGTTTATTGTCATGTGACAGTTTTTCTAAAACAATACAGACTAATGATTTCAGGACAGTGGTGGAGTGCCAGAGCCCGGTCCCAGCTGCAACCGCTGCAACCCTGGTAGTTCTCATGAAAATGCCGAGTATCGGCACTGGTACTCGAAAAGTATCTGTGCATCCCTATTTTATTTCAATGTATGTCATCATTTTATTTAGTACATTGGCTGTAGATGGTCCGCTCTGTGTTTTTGTCCTTTATTTTTTTCTCTTTTTCAACTCTGATTTTTCTCTAAGAAGAATCTCTTCTGCCCTTCAGATACACAAGCGGATATTGTGAAGATGGCGGACCCGGGATCCTGTAATTGCGGCCCTGTGGCTCCTCTCAAGATTTACAACCAGCTGACAGACCAAGGGGAAAGAGTTCGAGCACTAAAATCTGAAAAGGCTTCAAAGGTAGGTAGGTAGGTGTGTGTGTGTTTTTGGGGGTCGGACCGTGGGGTAGGCAGAAGAGGCGTGCGCCTTGAGTACTTCAGCAAGAGGGGTCAGGACCTGCAACCTATGCTGCTGTTCACAGCTCATGAAGGGGGCATGGGGCGCACTTTGCCTTGCACCTTGTCCCACCACTGTCTGTAGTGCTAAATCCTCCTCATGTAAAATATATTTATTATTTAACATACTTAGGACTGGCGAGGTGTAACTGAGGGTTAGTAAGGGATTAAATAGGAATACTTTTTTATTTGCAGGGAAAAAAAATAACTTGTAAAGATACTTTGTCATTTCATACGCAGATCAGAGGTTTGGTACCACTGTAGTATGGAAGCCAAGAGGATCAGCATGACAGCCAGGCAGCAAGCATGTTTACTAGGATGAGTTTGATGACAGGTTTCCTTTCCATCTTCCCTGTAATTATTGCCGTCTTCTCTCTCTTAGGATGATATTGATGCTGCGGTGAAACTTCTTCTGGCTCTGAAAGTGGAATATAAAACTGCCACAGGACAGGAATACAAGGCAGGTTCACCCCCAACAGACAACACCCCTGTTGCTAATAATGGTCTGCCCCCTGCCAGCGACGGGGATGACTTTGTGGATCCGTGGACAGTTCAGACAGGCAGTGCGAAAGGGGTCGACTATGACAAGCTTATCGGTAAGGGAAGTTCATGAATTGCAATGGAAGTACATGTGTTCTTGCACTTTCCACTGCTCTCGGGGGCAAGTTGTTCCTGGAAACAGGGGAAGTGCTTCCCTTTAGTACTCCATACTACAGCTGTGAGAACCTTGCTCTGTCATTGTTGTGCCTCTACATTCAATGTATTCTTACAGGGCCCCTATCACCAATATATAGATTGCAAAATAAAGATGTTACCTGTAAAGAAGGTTGCTCATACTCGCCTCTTCTGCTGCATGCATCAATATTGCAGAGGAATCCCCCATTCCAGAGCAGCTCAGCTCCCCCTGTCTCCCCCTACCAGCAGTTACTTAGTAACTCAGCTTCCCCTACTCTCCATCCTAGCAGTGACTCAGCAGCTCAGTTCCCCGTTTCCCTCTCCCAGCATTAACTCAGAAGCTCAGGTTTCCTGCTTCCCCCTCCCAGCATTGACTCGGCAGCTCAGTTCCCCCTCCCAGCACTGGCTCGGCAGCTCAGTTCCCCCTGCTTCCATATATTGACTCACCAGCTCAGTTCCCCTGCTCCTCCTTTCTAGCATTGACTTAGTGGCTCAGTACCCCATCCCCCACACTCCGATTGTTAGCATTAACTCAGCAGTGCAGCCCCCCTTTATTTGCCCTTCCCACTTCCCCTACTAGCAGTGGCTCAGCTCCCCCCTCCCAGCAGTATCTCACCATCAGTTCCCCCTCCCAGCAGTGATTCAGCAGCTCAGTTCCCCCTTCCAGCATGAATTCAGCAGCTCAAAACCTTTCCGCTATTCAGCATATTGTAATCACTATATTCTGTTTTTTGTTTGTTTTTTTGCAGTTCGCTTTGGGAGCAGCAAGATTGATCAGGAGCTTATCGATCGGATAGAGCGCGTCTCCGGTCACAAAGCCCACCACTTCCTGCGGAGGGGGATCTTCTTCTCTCACAGGTAGAGAGCCAATGCAAGAATCTCAATATTCAGTCCTTCATTTTTTTTTTCTTGGAGGAACCCCATGTCAGATCCTTAGTGACACATAGAGAGCGGTCTCCACTGGGGAGATTCACCCCCATGTGTCACTGGGATTAAAAGTGATGGGAAGATCCAAAACCTGAACAGGAATAGAGGGGAAGTCTGCCAATGGGGACAGCACTTCTGGTGACAACTGTCTAGGAGGTATTTCTCTTAATTTGTAGAGACTTTCTTTTACTTCCTCTTGTGTCTTCGGACAGGAAGTGACGGCGGGATAAGGACAGCAGAAATTTAAAAAAAAACCTACTGGGGTTTTAAAGGATATCCAAGAAAAACTTTTTTTTTTCCTGGGCAGAGCTTGGATACGTCCGTGTCTAGTAATCAATGCTGAGACACAGCCAAGGACACATAAAGCAAACAACCATAACCGACAGGCTAAAAAAAGAAAAATATGTTGTTCTGCACTTTTGTATATGTGTGTATAGTATATACATACACACACACACATATATATATATATATATATATCTTGTTATCTTACTTTTGGGGGCTTTGGGGAAATATCGGAGTTCTAATCAGATCCCTGATATTTCACTTTTGAAATACAAAAAAGAAATTGAGGACACAGAGTCCTCAATCTCTTTTTCTCCATCCCCAGCACTCAATGAACAGGAATTACTCCGTACAGAGGCTTCCTGTTCATTCACAAACTGGAAATAGTTAATATATACTATCAACCCAGTCATGAATGGACAGGAAACCTCTGTACTGAGATGCTTCCTGTTCATTCATAAAGTGAGCAGATAGTAAATATTTACTATGTCCCCATTCATAAATGAACAGGAAGTGATGTAGAGCACTTCCTGTTCGTTCATAACTGGGGACATAGTAAGCACTATGTCTTCAGTTATTTACAAACACCGAGTGATCAGTGTGTTTGCTCAGTACAGGGAAGGATCTGTAAATATTTTAACATAATTACCAATCCCTACGCTCTGCCCCCTCCCACTGGAGCTTTCTGCCCCACTTGGCCTCCTGACAGCTGGATCGGCTCTGTCTCCCCTCCGATCCCCACTGCCTCTGCCAACAGAGGCAGGGGAGAGCAGAGGGGGCACAGACCGAAGTTGCAGCCGGTGCCCAGTGGGGAGGACAGAAGCTGGGGATGCACCGCATTTTCACACATTTTTGTACTATCAGCATTTTGCCCATAGTACCATTTTTTTGGCCATCATGCTCATGCCTGTTGCTGTCAGAGTTTTGCAATTCCTCATGGGACTTGTAGTTCCACAACAGCTATAATGCTGATATTGCCTACCCGTGACCTAGGATTTAAAAGCAATCTGGCCTGGTTGATGCTAATAATCTAATGTCTTTCTTTATTATTATTCTTAGGGACATGCACCAGATCCTGGATGCTGTTGAGAAGGGGAAGCCATTTTATCTGTATACAGGAAGGGGTCCATCTTCGGAGGCCATGCACGTTGGACACCTCATCCCATTCATCTTCACCAAGTACGCACCTTGAGCTTATAATGCTAATCTTTATGGGAATTCGGCTGCACACGGACAGACTGACACTTTAGATTCTTTTTCAGGTGGTTACAGGAAGTGTTTAATGTCCCGCTTGTGGTCCAAATGACCGACGATGAGAAATATCTGTGGAAAGACCTGACCTTAGAGAAAGCTTACCAATATACAATCGAGAACGCCAAAGACATTATAGCGTGCGGCTTCGATGTCAATAAGACTTTCATCTTCTCCGATCTAGAGTACATGGGGTGAGTCACTATGCCACGGCTCTGCTCTTCTATCCGTACATTTTACATCCAGCACACAGGAAGACATTAAAGCTGAACACTGAGCACCCCCCGACAATAATTCAAGGAGCTTCATACCAGGTACAATATTTGAGTCCCCCATCCCTTCTCATCCAGGTGTTTAAGCCCTGATGAAGGGGCTGCTTGACAGCCTCTGAAATGCATTGGCTTGTAAGGTTGCATTTTTGTTAGGGATGCACTGATACCGAGTATTTGGGCGAGTACTCGTACTCACCCCAATGCTCCGATACCTTTCCCAATACCGGAACTTCTGGTCAATGGAAGATTTCCTCTGACCAGCAGTGCCATAGGGGAACATGGAGCCGGCTTCCTGGGCAATCAGGAAGCCGGGTGGGGATTAGTAACCTGCTTCCTGATTGGCCAGGAAGCCGGCTCCATGCTGATAGGCCAGGAATCTGTCTCCTCGGCCAATCACAATCGAGCCGGCCAAACAGCATGGAGCCGCCTTCCCAGCATATCATTGCCCGGGAAGCCGGCTCCATGCCAGTGGAAGCACCGGTATCAGTACTCGATATCGGCGAGTACCATAGCAAAATATCGGTACCCGATCCCGAAAAAACGGTATCGGTGAATCCCTAATTTTTAATGATGCAATAAATGCTCTTCGTACTCCGAAACCATTGGTGTACGTCTCCTGTAGTATGTCTGCAGTCTATGACCAGCTCCTGTAGTATGTCTGCAGTCTCTGACCATCTCCTATAGCGTGCCTGCAGACTCTAACAGTGTTCTCTAAAATCACTAAATAGTATGTGCAGCATATGGGGATGTCAGGGGCTGCACTTGAGATCCACTACATCAAGTAAGATGACCACCACTACTCTGTAGCGATAGCACAGGCTCATTTTCATGACATTTTTTTTTTTGGACCTGGACAATATGGGCAAAAGGCTTAGTATTAGGCCTGGTTCACACCTGTACGTTTTGTAGCGCATTCAACGCTCTACGAACGCTCTACAAAACGCTCAAACATGAAAATCCTATTGTTTTCTATGGGTATGGTTCACACCTTGCCGTATTTCAGCCCGTCTGAACACGCTACAAAATGGCCTACGCCTGAAAAGGTACATGAGCTTCTTTGCGGCGTTTTTGTTGCGCGTTTCCATTGGGATACAGCCAAGTAGCCCTCGAAAACGCGCGTTTGTTGCGCGTATTTTTTTACGGTGAACCGCGATAAAACGCGCGTCACGAAACGCGCGACAAACGTGCATATTCGATACGCCTAGGTGTGAACAGAGCCTTATAACTAGCTGTCCATTATACATTGACACAGATGCACAATATATGATGGGGTAGACAACCTCGGCACTCCAGCTGTGGTGAAACTACAAATCCCATTTAATATTGCAAGACTTCTGACAGTCACAGGCATGACTTGCAGAGGAATTGTGGGAATTGTATTTTCCCCACAGCTGGAGAGCTGAGGTTGTCTACGCCTGAGGTATGAAGTGAACTAATCTTTGCTGACTACAGGGGAGAGGCTGGGGGAAATAAACACACACACCCCCCCCCCCCTCGTACCACTGCTCATAAAAACCAGAGTGTGATTAATTCAATGCAGCACTTTATAAATGGCTGTAATACATCAGTGTTACCTTTTGCTCTATGTCATCCCATTGCAGTCCCAGCAGCTGTCCTGGAGGTGTCTCCATTATATTAGTGCAGTGATGGCAACTGTTAGGCAAGCCAGCAAGGAATGCTAAGATATCAGTGTATGGAGGACAGGAGAGGAATACATATATAATATAGAGATATCAGTGTATGGAGGACAGGAGAGGAATACATATATAATATAGAGATATCAGTGTATAGAGGAGAGGGAAACGTAACAACAAAACAATCTGCAACTCTCAGTTTTCAGTTATTCGATCCAAAAACATTTTGTGGTCATACGTGAACAATAAAGATCTTTATGGATCAAGAATTTGGAACATTTTCACGTTCTGTGTGTAAAACATCTTTACTATTCCGGCAGATGAATTGCTATAAGCTCCAGTGTTGGTAGTCTCATAGATTACAATATAAAGACATTTCAGAGATCACGGCTTTATTACATACCTTGTTTTAGACTTGGTGACATCATCACTGGGTCTCCGTGCAATGCAGGCAGGCTGTTGGGAAGGGCCGGCAGGGTGCTGTACATAGCTTCTTGAAAACATCCCATCTTCCTGCCTCAGTAACTCCGATCAAGAGCTCTCAGCCCTGATGCAAACAGTGGGAGGAGTTAGGCAAATATCAGAATGCCTTGATGGGTGGGTGTCCTGCCAGAAATTCTGTGCACACTTAGCTTCCTGTGGACTGTGCTGCCGCACTGATATCGGCCCGGTTCACACCTGGGCGTTTTGTAGCGCGTTCGAACGCTCTTTAAAACGCTCAAACACCGAAATCCCATTATTTCCTATGGGCATTGTTCACACCTGGGCGTATTACAGGCCGTATGAACACGCTACAAAACGTCCTACGCCCAAAGAAGTACAGGAGATTCTGTGGGGCGTTTTTGTCGCGCGTTTCCATTGGGATACAGCCAAGTAGCCCCTTTTTTTTGAACGCGCGACAAACGCGCATATTTGATACGCATAGGTGTGAACCCAGCCATCAGGAGTGTTCCCAGGTCTCTGTGGACTACAAAACATATCATAGTTACATAGTATTTGAGGTTGAATAAAGACATTAGTCCATCAAGTCCAACCTATTAGGATCTCATTCTAGGAGTACCTGTACCCCTGTATATTACCTGTACCCCTGTATATTACCTGTACCCCTGTATATTACCTGTACCCCTGTATATTACCCGTACCCCTGTATATTACGCGTACCCCTGTATATTACCTGTACCCCTGTATGTTACCTGTACCCCTGTATATTAC